CGCGTTAATAGCAGCAAGCGCAGCGTCAATTGATTGCATTGTGGTCACGTTATGGGTGGTTGAAGTGGATAGAATAATTTGTGTTGGAGGACGTAATCCAGCGTTGGCCCGTCCGCAGCGTTGGCCCGTCCGGCACCTCTATGATTTCGTAACGGACATCACTGTGTGCCGGAAACAGCCTATCGACCCACCAAAATCATAGACTTCTTGCAAGCTGATTGGCCGGCTCACATAGACATAGGCAGAAAGGGCGTGGATCAGCGCATGAAGGGAAGACAAGAAAGACCGCGCGACATCCACCAAGGAAGTGTACAGCTCCACGAGAGACCTAACAAAAGAAAAGGCTCGCTACCAGTTCAGCTACGAATCGAGAAGATGGGTCTCAACAACTTCCTCTATAGTCAACACGACCCTTCCTCCTACACTACAGCAAGTACAAGGACCTCCGGAACCGCACCGCCGCCAATCTTTCCGGACGATATAGCCTTGAAACGATTCTGAGCACGCTGCACCTAGCCACCAAGGCTATCGAGTATATGGAACAGACGCAGATCCTTAGCGAGCTGCTTTGATTGCACGGTGCCTTTACCCATATTCGCGCACTTGAGCATCAAAATACTGAGATCATATGGGAAGTCAAGAAGCTGTCGGAAGTAAGGAGAATTGGTCTGTGATACTGCCGATCCATAAACTTTCTCTTGCCGGACAGCTTTCAAGCATGGGTCGACGCAGGTAATAAAACAACGATTTCCTTAACTTTCAACAATAACCTTTCATGCACCCAATCTTATGACAGATATGATTCCAACTGTTCAATTATGGGGAAAAGCCTTGGTTAAGCGATGGTTCAAAGTAATTTTGCATTGCGGTACTCGGGCCCAATGGTTCGTTCCGAAAATTTCAAGAAATTGCCCGCGCGTTGCACGGGCCTCCCACCCCAAGGGAAATGCCCACCCCAAGGGCATCACTTAGATATAACATAATACCAACTCTACCACAACATTAGATAATCAAAATCTATTTCAGCAAAACGTTTCGCAATATGCCAAAGAGTAATTTTTCAGCTTTAAAGTATAGAGAAGAGGTGGCGTTATACAAAGAGCACGCGGCAAAGCTTCACAGTCACCAGAAGCCAAACATCAGCTCTTATGCAAAAACCCACAACTTAGGCTATAAACGTCTCCTCCGCGCCTATAAGAACGCGCCTACGCGCAGCGATAAAAAGCCAACCAATTATCGGCTGAATGACGCCCAAGATCTTGCCCTTGAGCGCTACCTTAACGCAATCAATGCTATCGGCTTCGGTATACATCACCGCATGATCGCGCAACAAGCCTACGCGTTGCTTCAAGAGTCGTACATGGGACCAGACGAATCACCGACGCCACTAGGTCATAACTGGGCTCGACGCTGGCTACAGAGGCATCCAAAGTACCGCCGCGTTAGGAGTAAGCCGATGGAAGTACAGCGTATGCTGGCACAACAGCCTGACGCGTTGCGCCATTGGTTCGAGCAGCTTCAAGCTACTATAGAGAAACTTGGCGTACAACCTAGCGATATGTACAATATGGATGAGACTGGTTGTCGGATTGGCGTTGCAAGCAGCCAGTATGTATACAGTGCTGGCGGCCGGCAAGTCTTTATTGCCAACGCTAATAACCGCGAGCTTATTACCCTTGTTGAATGCGTCTGTTCTACTGACTTTGCAATTGAACCAATGGTTATTATTAAAGCAGCAACAATTATGGAGCAGTGGGTAGTCGATCTGCCTGATAACTACCTTATTGCAATCTCAGAGAGTGGCTATAGCAACGATCAGCTTGCGCTCGCCTGGTTGAAGCGATTTGATCGCCGAACGAAGCAGCGGTCTACTGGCGCGTGGCGATTACTATTAGTAGACGGACACGGCTCTCACTCAACTAGAGAGTTCATTCAATACGCTGAGCAGCAGTATATACAGCTCTTTGCGCTACCACCGCACACTACGCACCTTCTCCAACCGCTTGACGTTGGCTGCTTTCAACCACTCAAGTGGTACCACGGCCGCTGCTTAGAGTGGGCGTCTCGCACTGGCTCAAAAGATATTAACAAGGCAGACTTTCTAGCAACTCTTGCTGAGATCCGGCGTCTTACCTTCACGCGCACTACTATACAGAGCGGCTGGCGGTGAACTGGTCTTGCTCCGTGGAAACTAGAGCTTGTACTTGACCAGTTGCAGCTACTCGACACGGACAGCGAGTACGAGCGCGCTACACCACCACCAGTTCAGTTGCGACAGACGACACCGTGTATACAAAGCTCTTCGCCGTCTTTAGGCTCATCTCCATCATGCCTACTACCGCTACAGCGCTTCACACAAGTTCGGATAGCGCTACAGGGTGAGCAATTGAGCGCGCGCCGACGACGACGGCGCGCGCAAGGAGACCGCGATGAGCTTGACTGGGACACAACACCAGAGCCAGAGAACCCACGACCTGGCGACGCTGCATGGGTTACACCAAAAACCGTTCGCCAGATTCAAGCGCAAGAGCCCTTCGTCTACACTGTGCTTCGTGAGCACCTCCCACGCGACGTCGCTGCCAACGTTATTAAACACTAACGTGGTGTCTCAGCAATTGCGCGCATCGCAGAGGGCTTACAGCGCGAGCTACACCATACAGAGGCAGCGCAACTTGCCAAAGGCGAGCGCCGTCGTCGTAAACGCCGTGCTCTTGAAGCAGGTGGTGGACCTATCTACTCGCAAGACGCGCGCTCAATGGTACAACGCCGCCAGGTTAATAACGTCGCCCGCTTACAACAAGAGCTTACTACAAGATCACTTCATGAAGTAACAGTTATTGCTAATAAATAGAAGCGTATACGGCCTACAATACGGAACCAGGGCAAGAAATACCTTAAGCGCGCAGCTAGTGGCGTTATAATAATGTGTGATGTTACGCGCTGGCAGTACGCCATCAACAACCATAATTATAATACTAAGGCGCAATATAAATTACAGCGCGTACAAGAGAGTCGCAGCGTTAAGTATAATGAGAGCGTACTCACAACTGATAATACACAAGCAGCAGAAGTAGCTGCGGCGGTCCGCTACCAAGTCAGCCCATACCGGCTGCTCTGCCAGCTCTCTCAACACCAGGATGACAGCAGCGATAATAATGCAGCAAATGAGGAAGACGAGCTACTATATCCATACTAAAGCGATTCTCCTTGACCAAAAATTGAGTCGCAACAGTCACTTTTGAGCTCAATAATACAAGATGAGATAGCTAGCTGCGTAGGCAGTAGTGACTATGATCGCGACTACAACAGCGACGTATATAGTGGCTGTAGTCAAAATGACTAGGGAGCGTCTTAAAATATAGCTTCGAGAATTAGTAAATCATTCTGTCTAGAATTCTGATATAAATACAGCAAAATTTGCGACTAAAGTATTTTATTGCCCTTAGGGTGGGTATTTCCCTTGGGGTGGGCGGGCCGTGCAACGCACGGCCAATTTTTTTGAAATTTTCGGAACCAACCATTGGGCCCGAGTAGTGCTAATAAAAAGAAGCTTGATATTCCTAGTCCCTACCTGTTCACTACGAATTTGTTCTTGCGCGACGCCCAACCCTTCACAGACGGGGCGCAGCTGGTCCGATTTCGTACCGTTCATGGTTCCTCTCTGATAGAATGCAGGTCAGATAGCTAGCAATATGCTCCTCCCGCCTATGCGGCGCACCATTAGCACAGCCTTTATTTCTCTCGCTGCTCAAAATGCTGTTTTCATGCCATGGGGTTGAGCGTTAAAGGTCCTGTATGAGATATTATCGTCAGAAGTCGCAGTCTCTATAGCGTCCTTTGCTAGCGAAATGGTTTTGCAAACAGAGTTGCGTTTTAGAAAATGGTTGCGAGCAATGAGCCAAGTTTCTGCCTTGCCAGCGTTGGAGGACAGCGCTACTCGGTGATGTTCTACTACTACTATTAGTATAACCAAAGACTCCTCAAAATACACGTCGCGTCTAGTATTGGAGGCAAAATTGATCGCCCAATTGCGTACACCCTTAAGCAAAGATATGAATTGTTCTTAGATGACATCGTTTGTAATTTAGACGCCTGAATGAAGCGCGCTTAATGTCTTTTTCCTTCTGTGGTTCGTAACCTGATCATTTGATAGTAGTGTACCTATGCAGACTGGGAACCCGTGCACGCTGTGGCTATCACTGTGGCTGTCATCTGGCCTTGACTGCCCCCAAACACCTTGAACAAGGCAGCTTTGTAACATTTTCAGCCGTCTTAACTTCGACGCACCATAACTCCATAACTATGGATCTGATTCAGGAAGCGGCTGAATATTGGGAATCGAGTGAAGCTGGGGATAAGTCTTCGTATTGTTAAGTCGTAGAAATGTTCAATGTTGACTGAACGACGCTGTCACGGTGGCGTCAAGGCGCGCGAGCGACAGTTACTCAACCCACAACGGGAGTGTGAGCTTGTGCTATACATAGAAAAATGCGCAAGAAGAGACTTGCCATCTATAAGAGAAATGATACAAAAATTCGCGACGACGATAGTGAAGTTGGAGGTTTCCCACAGCTCGGTTACGCGGTTTCTTCATTGGCACGCCGACGAGCTTACCATCAGATGGAGCCCTAGGACCGATTGCGATAGGTACCAATCTGACTCACCGTTCAAGTATAAATTATACTTTGACATGCTTCACCCGAGGATGCAAGAGCACGAAGTTGAAGAGCGCAACACGTACAATGTGGATGAGAGAGGCTTCGCTGTTGGTGTCGCAAAACGCGGCAGACGTGTCTTCTCTAAGGCCTTACTAGGTCCCAAATAAGTCATACAAGATGTAAATCGTGAATGGGTAATGCTGCTGGTTTGCATATGCGCTTCCAGAGAGTCATTGCCGCCTGCTCTTGTCTACCATGGCTCCTTTGGGATTCAATCGGGCTGAGTGGACGCTGTAGAGGTTGGTAAACACAAAGTTTTCTTCTCAATCTCAAAATTGGTATGGAGCAACAGCAACGTAGGTTTGGCATGGCTTGAGCAGGTATTTGAGCGCTTCATGAAGCTTAAAGCACGACGCAGTTACAGACTTCTTATCCTTGACAGCCACGGTAGCCATCTCACGACCGATTTCATAGATTTTTGCAACGAAAATTGCATCCTCTTAGCCGTTATCCTACCCATTCAACCCATAGCTTACAGCCACTCGATGTGGTGCTCTTCGGGCCTGAAGAGCTGGCTGCTGCCCGGGCGCTCAAAAAGCAGCAACGCGACGCTACAAACGCAGAAAAATCTCCCGATAGAGAAAACAATAGTGAAGAAAAGCCTCGCGTAGCTCTGTAAGTAATTCGGCAAAGCGTCGTCGCACTGTGGCTGCACGAAGTGGTGCTAACGCTGAACCGCCGACTGCGTCTCCCCCATCTAAAATCACTACTACTAGTAGGCGCGGGCGCAGCAGCCGGTTACCAGCCAAATATGAATAGCATAATTGATGCATAAGGCGCTATATAGGCATATAACTTCTAGAAAATCTCGCGACAACAACTTTTATACGGGCGTCTACAGCTTCATTTGTACTCTAGGCTGGAACCTGTTCACTCTCAGATGCAAGCCTAACCTCGATCATAGCTGTACCAGACTCTTCCAGCCTTTTGACGTTTTCAATGTAGAGTTTTGGATCGGCTTGCTTAATCAAACTCAGAAACTCCGGTAAAGTACGCTCTTTGCCACCGAATAATGTCATCATGTCAACATCATAAAACACTGATGACATCGAAGGGAGCTTATCGTCCACGATTTGATCGCAGATCAAGATCCGACTATGTTCTGGATCCATAGCAGGAACAGTCTGTCTCAAAATCTTGATACATGCCGCGTCCGGCCAGTCATGGAAAATGTGACGGAATAAATAGGCCGCAGCTCCTGATAGATTGAAAATTGTGTCAGTTTCAATGTTCTACAAGTTCTAGAAAGCAAGAGTGAAATTGGAAATTGGGTGAGATACCTTGGACTGGCTGAGGGTTAAAGAAGTCGTGTTCTTGAAAACTCAGAGCTGATGCTGAAGAACTTCCATTCTCAACAGGATTCTCCTCGGATTCGTTAAGTGGTGGATTGACAACCGATTGTCTATCCTGGACAATGCACTGCAGCCGTGCTTCAGAATGACAGGCAAGAATTTGTCGGCTTACTTGACCGAGACCGCCACCAACATCGACTATCATCCCTCCATCTTTGACAAGGCTTTCGAATGGATAGAGGTTCGGTATGTCACTCAGATTGTTAATAGTAACGGCCTTCATTGCTTGGTCAAAGCGTTCGCCACGTTTGTTATCGGTGTCCATGAACTCCCAAAAACTTTCCATACTCCCAAATGCTAAGTTAAAACCGTTGATATCTCCAGGAATCGGCTCGTGATAATCGTTGAGTCTTAGTGCATCTGGCTGTCGGCTTGCTGATCGAAACCCCTCATCCAAACGATGTAAAAGAAGAGCTCGCATGGCTGGTTCTTGCATTGTCCGCGAAATGGGCGTGTGGCAATATACGTTTGGTTCGGGTTCTGCAAAGACGTACTTGGTCATGACCACGCGCATAACTCGCACAATCAATGCTGGATCAGCACCAACTGCTTTAGCCAACTGCTGTGCCGACTTCAACTCATTTTTCTTAATCTGCTGCTCAATGCCAAGATCAAGGACGACTTTTAAACAGGAACAAAAATGGAACTTCAAGCTGTTAGCGTTTGCTGTATATAGATGGACGATGATTATGTGATTTCGCTAAAGAAGTTTATGGTATGAAATATTGGAAATACCTGGAGAGAGTCTAATAGAAGACTTGTGGCTGGGTCTTGAGTCATAGCCAATAATCTCTGTGCAAGCTCAACGACCCTGTTCTTCTCCTGAATGATTTCCTGGTTAGATGACTGCATAATCTTCCACCCCCCAAGCGATGACGAAGGCCCTGCAATGTGCTTTTGCCGTAAGTGCTGGCCGTAGGCCATGATGGCTCCCATTAACTCTTTTCCTAGATTTTCGTACTCGCATATCTGATGACTATCTGTACAGCTATCTGAATCTTGGAAGTAACGCGTCATTGAAAGCTGTAACCGTGACAAGTGCGAGTGTTGAGAATGCTAAGGGTAGGAATATCTTTGACAAGTAATTCTAATTCGAGAAGACTCCAAACGCAGGATGGATTTGTCGAGAGATTGTGTCGTTCTTTCACAGAAGTCTATTTCACAGGGATTTATAAAATATAATACGATAAAACTGTAGAAACAGCTTAAGTCTAGAATGAGTTTAAATGTTAAGTGATCGTCATAGACTTTCATGATGTGTACAAGGATTTCCGGCTGCTGTGCGCTAATTCTTACCGGCTGTTTAGGTATAAGCAGCTCAAGATATTGCCTCAGTGATCCGACAAGTGCCGTCTCCTGACAATCTCACAAGGCGCTAGATGATGAACTAGTACTAACCAGAATGGCCTCGGATCGACGGTATTCGACCCTGCTACGGCAAAAGGCTGAATTATTGTGCGCTATACACAGACTCTAGGTCAACCGGTAAAAGCGGAAACAGAGCCCGAGGTCTTACTCGGCCCCAACGGTTCCAGATGGAAAATTTCAAAAAAATTGGCCGTGCGTTGCACGGCCCGCCCACCC